TTAGATCTAGATATAGAACATTCCCATTACTTCAAAAAGATGCCCCATTGCCCCTTTTTCAATAAATTCTGTCTCCCCAAGCCAACCATGTGGTAGGCAGAATGAGCCACTCCCCTTTAAGATGTCCTTGCTGGGACACCTGAGTGACTCAGTTGGTTAAGTGTCTGACTCTTGGTTTCAGCTCAGGTCAGGATCTCATGGTTGTGAGATCCAGCCTGGCGTTGGGCTCTGTGCTGGGCATGGAGCCTGCTTAAGATTCTCTCTCTCCCTTTTCCTCTGCCCCTCCTTTGCTCATGCTCCCTTGCTCTCTCTCTCTCAAAAAAAAAAAAAAAATAAATAAATAAATAAATAAATAAATAAATAAATAAAAAATTAAAGAAACTTCCTTGCCCTAATGCCTACAACCTGAGAATATGAACATACCTTTGAATATGTTTCATGGATGGGCCTGGTGTAACCACATGAGTCCTTAGAAGTAGAAGAGAAAGGCAGAAAAATAGGTCCGAGAAAGATACAACAGTAGGAGAGGAAACGAGAGATTTGAGGTGAGGAGCATATGACCCATGGTACTGGGTTTGAAGGTGGAGGAAGCCAAGGAATGCAGGTGGCCTCTAGAAGCTGGGATACCAACAAAGAAACAGGGACCTCAGTCCTACAACTACAAGCACTGAATTCAGTCAACAATCTGAATGAGCAAGGAAATAGATTCTCCCAGATGCTCTTGGATTTCATATACAGGTAATCATAAAGTAAGAACTCTTTTGAATCTGGCTTCTTTCACTTGACATAATGTTTTTGAGATTTACCTACATTTTTAGAACAGTAATTTTTTTTTAACTGCTCAGTACTGTTCTACTATGAATATACCTCAGTTTATTTATCCATCTTCTTGTTGACGGCTATTTGGGTTGTTTCTGGTATTTGGATATCATGACTAGGTACATTCTTATACAAGTCTTTTTGTGGACACACCTTTCCATTTCTCGGGTAAATTGGGTAAATACCCACGAACAGAACTGCTGGGTCACAGGGGAGATATATGTTTAACTTTAAAAGAAATTGGCAAACAGTTCTCCAAAGCGGCTGCATGTTTCATGTTCCCTCCCACTTGCCTCGAGTGAGCTCACTGGACTGAGCACTTAAAATCTGTGTATTTCATTGTGTACCTAAGTGTACCTCAACAAATATATCAGAAAAGAAAAACGTGCAACAGAACACTGTATTTGTATATGCAGACAATATAATATCATCTGTCTCAGAAACGGTACTGTGGATATAAGGAACAAGTAAGTCATAGAATAAATTTGATTAAAAAAATACAACTTTACCATTTTAATTTTATTATACATTATTTACTAGAAAATTTTCCTTCTGAAAGGTCACTCTGAAAAATGAACACTAGTGGTTTTATAATCGAATTCAGTTTAGCATCTATATATAATCTCTGCATATTTAACTTGCACATGAATTAGGGCTATAAGAAATGTTTGCCCCCAAATTCTTAAATTTTTAAGAATTTTGTCTTAAAATTCTTTTTTTTAACTGTTAGAATTCTTATTAGGTGAGATTTATTTATTTATTTGTTTGTTTACTTATAATATCTATGCCCAACATGGGGCTCAAATTCACCACCCTGAGATCAAGAGTCACATGCCCTACAAACTGAGCCAGCCAGGGACCCCTGGTCTTAAAATATTTTAAGACCTCTAACATTGCTGATGGAAGGGTAAGCTGTTACAATCTCTATGGAGTACAATTTAGTAATATTTTTCACATTTATACAAGCTCTAAACCCTTTGACCTTGAACTCCTGCATGTTGGAATACATTCTACATATTTACTTGCTCATATGCACAACATTCATGCAAAGCTACTCATATCAGCAGTCTGTAATAGCAAAACATTTGAACCAATCTAAAAAAATGCAGGGTTGCTAAATCACAGGGTTGCTACACAGCTGAGGAAAAAAGTGGGGATGCTACTTAATGTTTCAAGTATGGAATAATTTCTAAGGGAAAAATAATACATATATTTGCACATTCATAAGGTATTTGGAAGGATATACTAGAAACTGAAAAGTGGTAATTTCTTTTTTTTTTTTTTTTAATATTTATTTATTTTTGAGAGAGCAAGAGAGCAAGCCAGCCGGGGAGGGGAAGAGAAGGAGGGAGACAGAATCCTAAGCAGGCTCTGCATCTCTGGGCTGTCAGCACAGATCCCAGCGCGGGGCTTGAACTCATGAACTGTGAGATCCCGACCTGAGCCAAAACCAAGAGTCACTTAACCAACTGTGTCACCCAGGTGCCCCAAGTGTGGTAATTTCTAGAGAGGAGGGAGAGCTGTGTATCTGAGTGACAGGTGTGAAGCTTTTTGCCATTCACTCTTTAATTTTGAACAATGTGACCATTAACTAGTAAAAACAAACGTCTCTGCATTAAAATTTTAGGGGAGAATGATAATCTAAATTTAAAGCAAAACGAATCCTATGTTACAGATATTTAATTATATATACAGCTTCATTATTCTATTATGATTAGAAAAATGTAAAGTTTGTTAATTTTTTAAATTATTTTTTTAAATGTTTTATTTTTATTTTTAAGAAACAGAGAGTGAGCAGGGAGATAAGGAGACAGAGAATCTCAAGTGGGCTCTGTGCTTAAAGCAGAGAGCCTGATGCAGGGCTTGAACTCTCATACGACGAGACCATGACCCGAGCTGAGGTCGGATGCCACCCAGGCGCCCCCAAAAGTTTTATCAATTATTATGTAAAAGGAACAATAAATCTATACTATAACAGATGTAAAGTTAATTCTAAGTGGAAATCATGAGCTCCCAAGTTGGTAATAAGGGAAAAACAATGCTTGGAATAAAGGGAAGGGGAAAAAAATTAGTAGGTGTGGTAAACAACCATAACCATTCTTCTTGGTGCAAATGAACTGTTACAGGCTACTGTTTGGGGTATTATTTTGAACTTATTCATACATTTAACATGTAGTTAATCTCTTGGGATGCTGATTTTAATAGAAAAAAACAGACAAATTGAAAGCTACCTTTAAAGGCAGATTTAAAATAGTAAGAAAACCTCAACTTTATTTAGCCCTTTTCAACTTTCAATTCATTAAGAAAATTTTTTCCTTACATTATTTGTTCATACATTATTCCTTTTGCTCCTCATAACCCTACGATTTTGAAATTTTATTCTGACTTTACGTATAAGGAAAAAAAAGATACTGAGAGAAGCTAATTTACCTCAAATCACATGGTTTTGTATGAGCTAGACCTAGTACCCTGGTGTTCTTAACACTGGTGCTACTTTCCATCTGCAATCCCTTAACCTTAAGCCCCTGCCCTCTCTCTCACCTTATCTCTCATCACAGTAATTTAACTTTCCTGCTGTTTATATGCCTCCAAAGGGAAATGACAATTTTGATAATGGTGCAATATTTATTGTACCTATCTATTTAAATTTTTTTTTAACAAACCAAAATTGCATTAAAACATCGATATGCGATTATTTTCCCACCACTCAAAAATTTTAATATGTATTGAAGATTCTGGACCAGAAAATGTGTAAAGATAAGACAAAGAATATCAAAATAACTTATAACAAATTTCTAAAACCTCTCACATATTAAAATTGGTAAGATAAAAATATGATTTACAATACATGTTTGGCATTATGGTATAGATAAGAAAATAGTAACCATACTAAAATTAATTCATCCTACTTATCAAAATTCCTATTATAAGAATGAAAATATTCACCTGTTTATAAATAGGTATTCAAAAGTGTCTTTTGAACAACATTCTTTGGTGTTCATAAAACGGCATATATTATAATATATTTATCATACAGTCTTTTCAGACTATAAATTCATTTTAAACTGGAAATGAAAAAATATAAATTAGATACTGCTATAGAAAATAGTTACAGGGTAAGTATTTTGATGTCATGGTGCCCAAATACTTATGGACAAGATTTACCTACTAAACTTTAAAATAACTACCTTTTCTTTGATATTTCTTATAGATCTACATGTTCCAGAACTTAAAAAAAAAATTACGTTAGTCTAAAGGCAGAAAATTCAAACATGAATTGACAATTATCTATGATTCTCTCAACTGGCTATTCCACAAAATATGGAGCTAACTGAATAGATGAAAACCCTAGCACTGCGTGGATACCAGCTTGATAAGCAACTTGGAATGGCAGATGCATTACAAGAAATGGAACATTCTACTACAGAGGAAGAAGACAAGTGATCGAATAATATGCACACAACTTGGTAAAATTCTTTACCCTAATAAAGTAATTATTCATTTGCAAATATTACCAAAAGTAAAAAAAATTTATTTTACAGAGTGGTTGGTTTTCAATACATCAATAATGTTTTAATTCCCTATTCTCATTTCAGCTTGTCTCATTTCAGTGGTTGGTTTCTCCTAAATAATTTAGTTTACATTTAAAGTGGCAATACAGCTTTTACGTAATGGATTTAAGTTATAATTAGAAACCAGTTTTATATACAGAAAATCCATAAATATAGAACTTTTATTCCTATTTTATCCTAGGGCTATGCAAAAAATTGACTAAAAATTTTTCATTTGGGTCTTTGTAATAAACATGTAAATACATTATTTACAATGGAGATATTTTATGACAGAAAGTAAACACACAGAAGTAATTTTGGTCTTCACCAGAATCCATCATTATATGTTCATTTTCGAAGATGATGTGACACATGTTCAAATTTTAAAATTCTCATTATACACGTAATTCAAGTAATTATTTTACTTGTACAATTAATGCTTCATTCTGTATTTAAATTTCCTTTATGAAAGATTCCTTGATCCAATAGTAGGGAACTTTAGAATTTGTCTCAAATACAGCAAAATGTTTCTGTACAATTATGTGCAATTTTCTTCCTTCTGGCAATATTATAAATACCGAGCAATTTCATCTTCATTGTCCATACCCCAGAGGTAATCCTTGAGTTATCTCACATGATGTAAGTACCATCTTTGTAGTATTTCATGGACTCCATTTGTTTGGTCATAGCTAGAACATCATGAAATCCAGTACTTAGGCCAGACATATGTTGAAAGTATGCCTCTTTTTCCACTTGAATGGTTAAATTGTTTACTCCAGCATCTTTAAGTATTCCTGTAACCTGTTATAAAAACCCATACATTTTAAAGCATTTAGATTAGTGCATTTAGTACATATGTCTCAAATATCTGATAGGACATTTTTTTCATAGCCACAGATAGTCAAAGATAATCCCCGGGGCGCCTGGGTGGCTCAGTCAGTTTATCTGATTTCGGCTCAGGCCATGATCTCACAGCTCGTGAGTTTGAGCCCTACATCAGGCTCTGTGATGACAGCTCAGAGTCTGGAGCCTGCTTCATTATTCTGTCTCTGTCTCTCTCTCTGCCCCTCCCCTGCCCATGCTCTCTCTCAAATATAAATAAACATAAAAAAAAAAAAAAAGATAATCCTCAAAGTAATGTTTATCATTTACTTGGTAAAATGTTAAATATAATCTTTTAGAAGACCTGTAAATTACTGACCTGACATTCCAATTTGAAAAGAAAAACAGCTTTTGTTTCCAATTTGGTATGTTTAGAAAAGGGATATTAAAACTATTTTGATTCTTACTTCCAACCATAGCATATACCTTGCCAACTTTATTGTGATTATTATTAATCTAGAGCTATATTTATAATAATTAATTTCTAGATAACCTATTGGGAACCAAGGTGGATCACAAGTGATATTTTAACATTACCTTAAGCTTGTGCTCTAAATACTAAAACTTAATTTTTACCATTTTTGGGCAGAAAACAAATCTAGATGTAAAAAATAAGGTATATTATCTTTAGACAGCCAAAAGATTGATGTTTTTGAACAGTCAAATGATTACTGAACTGTGTAATTTATGATGTGTGCAAATTTATGCATGACTTAACTCAACTGAAATTACTTTAAAAAGAAAAGCTGATCACCTGCTGTACTATTCTTTGCTCCAGCACATCGGATGCCACCTGTATATGAACTGTTCCTGCCACAACACTGGCTGAATGACGCCAAAAATGAGGGTCTCGGTATGATATTAATCCTTCAATTTTCTGTATCTGTAAGATAAAAAAAGAGGTGATATAAATGGACATAAAGCCTAATTTACTTAACACAAAGCAATCTTTTTGGTCCAGGAACCAGATGATTAAGTGTCTGACTCTCGATTTCGGCTCACGTCATGATCTCAAGGTTCGTGGGATCGATCCCCACATCAGGCTCCGTGCTGACAAGTGTGGAGCCTGCTTGGGATCCTCTCTCTCCCTCTCTTAAGAAGAAAAAAAAAGATAAAAAGGAGAGCAAGGAAGTGAGAAAGGAAAGGGACAACTCGCTTGAAGTAAAATATTTCCAACAGAGTGAGGCCGAGGAAGACAGCTCTGAATGGGAAGTGAGTAATAGTCGCACACCCATTTTCCCTTCTTGAAGAGGTACTTTACCGATGCTAAACTTTGGGATACATTCAATGGACTAAATGGTTTCCTCATGTTGATACATACATTCACATATTATTTAGTATAGAAACATGTTCAAAAGATATCCTTTATGCTTAGTAATGGAGAACTGGTTAAAAACAGACAACACATATAACGTAATAGGACACTGTCATCAAAAATGTATTAAAGGCATTTATTAATATGACATAATTAAATGGGGAAAAATTTACAAAGTAGCACAAAATAGTTTTTTGCCATGTTCAAAATACCTAAAATATAGAGAAACAATTTTTAAAAGTGCTTCTTTCCAGGGGCACCTGGCTGGCTCAGTTGGTAGAGCATGCAACTCTTTTCTTTTTTCTTTTTAAATGTTTTTTTATTTTATTTTTAGAGAGAGTGAGAGACAGAGCGTGAACAGGGGAGGGACAGAGAGAGAAGGAGACACACAATCAGAAGCAGGCTCCAGGCTCCGACCTGTCAGCACAGAGCCTGACGTGGGGCTCGAACTCACAACCCGTGAG